AGCGCAAAAAATCTCAAACATTTAAATATGTAGTTTTTAAATAAATTTCAAAACTCAGAATTTGCGTAAATTCATATGTAAATGCAAAAAAAAGGGAACTACCATGATTGGTGAATCACACTGTATGCACACACACATTGGCAATTTGTATTCGGTYCATTACCTACCACAGTTATTATACGACGAGACTTTGACGTGAGCATATTTATATATATATATATTATACACGAGATATTATAGTCGTGAAGGGAGGGCGGAGGATCTGTCGTAAAACCACACTTAAATGATTTATGATTTTTAGATAGTTCCGACACCACTACCATATAATACCAGCACTAGTGTCTAGTTTACAGCCAATATATAATATATATATGTATGTATTACACTGTATATGCTTGCAGTGTTATATTATTATATTATTATATACAGTAAGTATTTACACATCACGCTCGCACGAAAATTTGTAACGTTTTTGGTGAACGCGAAACGAACAAATAAATGAGTTATCGAGTGAACGCAAAATAAATAATCGTACGTCTTCGAGGCAAATATCTATTTTCTCGAAAACATGAATTTGAACTTTCCTCTTTATATAATTGCATACGTGTATATATTGTATATATTATATACAATAATATAAACTACGTGCCAGACAACCTCCGACCACACGTCGTATCAAGTTCCGTCTGCTGTTTAAGATTATAATATTTACTTTTTGAAATATCATAATGCTTAATTATAAATTAATATAAAAATACGCAGTCATTCGGAACACGTTTTTATGAGTTTTTTACTGTTTGTATTTGAAAACTAACCATCACTGATTCTATTTAGTTTATTCATTTATTTCATATTAATATTGCATACATATTACATTAATGATTAAGACGTTATTGTTGTGTAATTATTTATATTTTATATGAAAAGAAAATATTTAACTATWGCTAAAACTATAAGTATATTGTCAACACATAAGTTTTATATTTTAATTACTTTTAACATTATTTATACGAATAACACACATAATATTATTTCTAATGAATTCAAATAGATACCGTTAAAATTGAAAATAAAAATCTAAATTTAAGATTTATGTCATATAACTGATATAGCATAATATAATAATATAATAATATAATAAACTAATGTAATACTACGATAAATATGTAGAGCGTGATTCATTTTAACAGCTCAACAAGGAGAACATTATCAAAAACAGATCGGCCACTGAAAGTATATCCCCCGAAAYGTAGGCGGAAAATATCGTTAAATGTACATTAGGTTGCCTAACGATCTCGACGATTTTCCCCGTAAATGGAAAAATCTAAACGACCATCAACAACAATATAATAATGTTGTATTCATATGATTTTTGTTCGACTTGAGTAAATGCGACGCTATGATGCGGCCCTATTTTTTCCTATTTTCAAGTCCTCGTCGGGGGTCAATGACATTCACGTTGTTACAATGGCTCTAGTAAATAATACTCACAGTTGATCTCGTCTGACACGTCGTTGGACCCGCAATTCATCACGTTGTTGCACCTCAACTGATTGGATATGCAGTAACTTGAGTTTTCGCATTGAAACCCCGGACACGAGTCGGAATTGTCCAATACTTCGGTCCAAGTCGCAGCGAATCCGGTACCGTTGCCCGATTTATCGGCCACGACAAAGCTGTAACGAAAAGCATAATATATTATTATCACCAACACATTTTTATCGATCAGACGCGTCGCCGGATGTTATTTTTTAGGTGTATATATATATTGATGGATTGGTAAGTGGTGCGTGTAATTTTGTAGTTTAGGATTCTCTGAGCGAAGTTTTACGATGATGTATTTTTTTTAAATTTGTGTTGTGCCMGTGATCTTTTTTCGGGTAGAAACTCTTTCCGGATTCGATCAGCTCGTGCTCACCCAGTTTCCGGTGCGAAATTAATGGTTGTACTTTATTATATATATATATATGTATTATATATAGGTCCTTCTAAAAAGGTCATTTATTTGATTTCCTCACGTTTTCGTACCACGAATAAGAATAGAAAGTTCCGATTTACGTCACATCAGTGTTTCGTCAAATCGATTTTACTTTTTATGTTATAATTTGATGATTATAAAATGATATAGATATTTAAAACTCTCGGTAATTAGTTATAATAAAACTGATATAAAAATATAAATAAATAAATTACTTATTCTATAAAATTTTACATTTCTAACCAAGTTTCGCTCATAATCATTTTTTGTTTTGTTGTATAATACCGATTGTTAATTTAAAAAATAGTGACTGATTTCTTTTCGTTATTTTACCTTATCCTGAACTGATTAGATTCGGATAGAAATTGCCACGACTCAATGGGCTTTTCACCACACAACTCCAACGGCGGTTCTTCTATGGACGGCCAAAGTCTGACAACTGCCGTCGCACAGCCTCTGGCTGCAGAAATGAAGTATTAAAAGATACATATTAATAAATGTCGTTCATAGTGTAGCAATGCTGTACAGAATCTACGGTATAAAATTGTAAAAAAWCGTATAATACGCGTTCCGGAAGAGTGTTTTGTACTTACTTGCCGGCTCTCCTTCCACCGAGAACGAGACAAAGTTGAGCAGTATTTTGTAATTGGGCCTGACGTTTATAAACCAATTGCACGTTCTGCTCGGCATTCCTTTCTCCGGTGCAGTATATTTGAGCGGGAAATTCGGACTCTGCACCTTTCCAGAATCTGCATTACTGATATTACTACCACAATCTTAAATTATACAGAAAACAAAAATTGATTATTATTTATTATCATTATATATAGGTATTCAAGTATGCTTTCCGATCGAAGAAGATATACATAAGAAGGTATGAAAATATGTTAGTGAACCACATGACTTACCACCGAATATCGGTTTGGCGTCGTCGAAAAAATATCTGGCCTTAAAGCCACTAGAGACACCTTCCGAGTTCGTGTGCAGTAGCACCTTTAGGCCGATYGCGCCTCGATTCGATTCCAACGGTCCAGGGGCTGTCATGCCACAATATCTACCGACAATTTTCTCCGTGCCATCTTTGTAAATGTTATATATTTCGAGCCAGTCCTCTTTGCAAACAAACACCCTATATAACAATATTATTCTAATAAAAAATAAAGAMACAAAATCCGCATTTAAATCTTGGCCTTGATAATTAATATTATAAAAATATGCCACGGTGGTATGGTAAAAATATTTTTTTCTCACGCACTACACATAAGTGCGACACACGCTGTAAAAAATAATACCAATGTTTCGTACCCAAATTGGACTAATGAAATGTTGTTTTCGTCAACTTTGATTTTGAACTGATCGAATATCACGGTGACCTGTTCGTTGGGCGTAGCYAAGAATAGATACGTACAATTCAGCCCGTTGGGATAGTTGGCCGGATGTCTAGGYGAGTTGAAATCTCCTCGTTTCTTGGACTCGCTACGGTAAGTAAAATGACACGTACCGTTCGGTGCAGCCGTTCCGGGTATAAGATATTCTAAAGAATATCAGAGAATAAATAAAACATTTTTTAAAAGCAATTTCTATTAAAGGCTCACCAGTTTCGAACGTATATTTGGCTTTAAATCCTCGACCGTGTAGTTCACCACTACTAAAAACCATTGCTAGTCTAGCCCCTTCACTCGTCACTACCTTTTCGTCAGCCTCGTCACCACACATTTCGTAGTCAAACTTGTCATACAGGTCCATGGCTTCTTGGCCTCTCAAATATAGTTTTAGGTAACCGTCCGTGCACCTTAAATTTAAATAATGACAATTTAAAAACATTTGATCCTTTTTAAAATGTAGTTTTAAACTCTCACTCTTGTTCGTTGAGATGTGCTTTGGGTATGTTGAATTTTTGGAATTCTAGCTTAACTCTTTCCAAATCCTGTGCACCTTCGAGACCGTAAACGAAATACCGGCACACAATTTTTGGGATGTACGGAAACGGATAGTTTGGGCTATATATGAAACCCGTTGAGGTCCGTTTACTTAAGACTTTTTGATCACATTCGGTGCCTCGGACGTGTTCTCCGTCGTTTATCCCGATAAAATCTAGATAAATAAACAAAAATTAAACCATCTAATGGTAATAATATATAAGTTTTAACTACACGAATATAACGGCATGTGACTTATGTGAGAGAGGCTTACCAAGTTTCACRAAACTTTCGCTGAACTCAAACATGCCTTTGAAACCACGGTTCTGTGTATTTGCGGCCCTATGAAGTGTGTCGAAAGTTACGTATAAATAATTTTTAGTAGAGTAGACCACTAAATTTCGTTGTTGACCGCAGTACTGGCCGATCAAAGGACTTGTAGCATTTGATCCGTCATAAATGCTTACGATGTCAAAAGGACAGCTGCGAACGRACAAAACCCGTGATATCGTAAATTCCGTAAATTTATGGTACGTTCATGTATATGGTACATATAAGTGTATATATATATTACGAGTATATAGGACTAAAAAACGCTTACTGTGGACCTCCGTAAAATAAGTCAAAGTCTCGGAATTCTAATCGGACCCTTTGGTTGGCTTGTCCGTGAAATAAATATGTACATTTCATTCCTTTGGGATATATGCCCGGGTACGTCGGCGTGAGTATGGTGCCTATTTTTTTCACATTAGAATTCACGACGAAYGAACACGGGCTGATCGGCGACGGCGTTCCCAGTTGAAATGCGGCTAAAAGACACACACACACACGTAGGTTAGGTATTGTATATTTATGACCATAATATTTTAGCAATCGAGGCGAAAGCTCGGACTGCTGCAAGCGTTCTAATCTATTACAGAACTGATGGAGTGAAAGAATATTTTAAGCAACCGCTTCGTGTAAAAGTGGGGGTTGGTATGTCTGAACCATAGWTTCTAGTAATATAGTTATTACGATTAATTTATTAACTTTTATTAATTGGTTTTGGAGGTGGGGATGGTGTGAGGGTAAACCTTCCTCATTAAAACGAGAACAATATTGGTGGGCGAGTACTTAATTTTGAATAGTCGCTTCAAAGAAAAAAAAAAGTGCATAATATACCTGTCCTTACCAATTACTAGGTATATTCGATAAATACTTACAGTCGTTGTTGAACGAATAGTAGCCCTCGAACAAAGATGACGTGGTCGAATTCTTGTCCGTGTAGAAGCTAAACGCTACTGTTCTGTACAACGACGTCCGGTCCCTCGGTGGGATTAGGCCGCAGTATCTACCTCCAAACGGTGAATTTATCAAATCTTCCGTATCGACTTGTTGAACCTCCGAGTATACGTCCACGTATTCGTGCACGCATCTGTAGACGATAATGCGCTTTTAATTGCGTAACATAATATATGATATCGTTTAATAGCGCACGTAGGTATGCCGACCCGAGGAAATTAGTTAGTATGACGTGTACTTTCTGTACAATAATATTAAACATTGTAAGGCTTCTACGCGCGTAACTGTACGGAATCGAAGGTATCGTCATAATGCAATGCGTCATCACAATATCACATGCGTATGTAGCAACAATTCGTAATACTATACAAAAATATAATATTAGAACCGCAAGAAGTTATGATTTTTATTTTTCGAACAGATATCATATAATCGCCGTTATTATCAAATTTGAAATTATTATTATGGGTAGGTTATGATGGGCCGAAACGGGCATAAATTATTTAGATTTTATTTTATTAAAAATCATCTCGTTGGCATGCTTAAATCGCAAAACGACCGACTTACTCTGGAGGTGTGCTTCGGAGCTTGAACGCGGTGAACGACACGAAGACCTTCTGATGCGAGGCGGCCACGAACGTAAACACGCACACTTTGGACTCGCCGTAGATGTTGGTGAACTCCGGAGCCCGGAASGTGCCATTCTGCGGACCGTCGTTGCTCACAAACGTCTTGTCACATCCTATAAACACGMAAGKMACCGTCAAGACCGCCGTACAAATTGAATTATAATAAATATTATTGTAAAATAATTAATTATTAAGCCGCGAACGGCGCTTACCGGACGACGACAGCGTTCTCTGAGCACTAGCGCATACCGATAACAACAACAACAACAACAATGACGACAAGGGCACCATAAATCTGCTACCGGCATGCCAATAGTCTTCGGCCATGTTATGTCCTTGRAAAAAATACAAGCAAATTCCGTGACCGTGGTTTGCGAAATAATAATAAAAACATTAAAAACAGACTTGGCCGACACAAAATTACTTACCATAGCGGCAAGGCAGTATGGTTTCAATGGCAATGTCAAATCGTCATCCGGAAAGTTACATCTAACGAGCTAATCTGAACACATAACAAAACAAGTATACGATAATATGGTGTTAATACTGAATATATATATAACTATGGTACACAATCACAAACAGAGTGATGTTTTGATTGTAGAAACATCACCTCCCTCCCACCCGCTTGATCGTATTTATGCAAAAAATATGTTTGTTATCTGCTTCAGATTTCTGTAAAATATGTCGTCACATGGTTCTATTTCATATTTGATAAGTACTATATTATGACTTTGACGATTAATAATTACAATAGAATGTGTATGCCCCTCAAAAGTTATATGTATTTATAAAACTACCCCCCACCCCTATTACAATGATTACATTTATGGTTGACTATACTCACGAAAAACCCACTCTAGGACATATACCTACAAAAATCAACGATAATAACGATATATTTTAACAATATTACTCTCGATCAAGCCGAAGATAGCTTCATACATTGTAGAGATAGTGTGGCATTATAGGAATATTATTGTGATATCGATATAACATGTTAGATTAGTTAGAGATAGATTAATCGTATTTTTAAGGGAGGTTGCTCGATTTTTTTTATGGATTGGGTACGTTGTCAGCATATTATTATGCGGTACTTGGCTCTAATTTTTGTGAGTCAAAAATTAATGACAATTTACTGACCTATTTAAAATGATAAGTTTATCTTTTCAATATTTTTTCTAAGAGGGAAATTAATGCCCCCTCATGATTCCCCCCACTAAATGCCACCTACAGTTGTCACTTTGTCAGGGCCATACAGAATCTCGATTTTGTGATACCGAGAGTCACATCTTATAATATAATGTAATTATAAAGTTGGCTATATGATATCGTACAATAATAATAAAAAATTATTACCAAAATGTTACATTTAATAATATCATGGGATGAGACGAATTAAATAACAAATGCATAATATCATAATAATATGAGTAAGCGATCGGTTGAAATAAATATAAAATGTGTGTGTGTGTGTGTGTGTGCGTGCGATGCAGTGGCGCAACCAGGATTTTTGTAAAGGGGGGGGGGTCCAAAAATATAATTATTTTAAATTAACATGCAAATTTAATTATTATTTTATTGTTTGTTTAATGTAAATATTGTAATTATAATATAAAATTGAATGATAGTTAAATGTAAAAAATAAAGGTAGGTATGTACAATGTTGTGCACTGCGATGTATTATGTTGACAAGTTTGGATGATTGGTAACAGGGTTTAGATCACTTCATCGCGTCACTATACGGTTCAAGTCGATAATTTATGATGATTTAGTGCGATGCAAATATACTTTTAATACTTACGCGTATCCCGGTGATCGATCGAACTCGCGCAGCACGCGCCCCGTTCGAAGTGCGTGTCGCGGTATACTTGCAGGTGAGCGTCTACGGTCCGGTTCTGTAAACTGCGGTATGCGGTATGCGGTATGCCGTGTGTGTGTGTGTGTGTGTGTGTATAATGTATTCCAATGCAGCAGCACGCACCCCGTCGTTAGGATCGGTATGGATACGACGGCGATTGTTGAGCAATTTATTGGTTAGCGAGCGGACATTGGCGAGGAGGTGAAGGGGGATGGGGGGCTCGAGACTAAAACGGAAAAACCCGAAAAACCCGAGAGTAAAAACAACGGGAAAAATAACTAGGTCAATCCCGGTGGCGATGCGTCTTGGTCGTCTTGTTCGTTTTGGTTGTACCGTCGATCGTTGCCGGCCGAAAAACCGCGTCGTACGTATATTACAGCGATGCGATATTATAATGATACGCCTACGCTACAATAGCGCAAAGCACTGTAGCGCGCGCGACGATTGTTGTTGTTGTTGGGTTGCGCGTCGTACGCGGGTCTGGCGCGAGGTAAGCAGAAGCGGCRGCGGCGGCGGCGGTTTTGGGTCGYGATACGCGGGCGAGTAGTGGTAACGATCGGGCGCGCGCGCGCAGGGACCGGCAGCTCCGAGCGGACGAGCGCTCTGGACGGATCTCGCGGCGGCGGCACATACGCGCACGGCTCG